TCCAGTTATTAATTTTATTAAATGATATCTGCAGGTTATTTGCTGCTTCTTGGCGATTGTAATGTAGCATAGAATTGGTCCAAGCACATTACCTTGTGGGACGCCCGCGTTCATTTCTTGTATATATCATTAAGCTGCTTGATCTAAAGGCTTAGTCTGATAGTTATATTGTTTTGGCAAGAGTTTGCTCAGTTTGTATCTGAGTCGTTCATGTCACACTTTATCAAAAATCTGAGCCACAGCAAAAAAGCCAGACGAACAGGCTTTCTGTCCTTCTAATGATTTTTCCTGGTTTATCGTCGACTGGTCTTCTCTAAACAGCAACTGATGAGATGGAATTAGGTTTCTTTCCTCAAGTATAGGATGTAGTCTCGTTAATGGTATTTTCTCAAATAGCTTTGGTGTAACTAGTAATAGCGATATTTTATTTTTTTATATTTATTTTATTTTATATTTATATCTGTATAAATAAAGGGATAATCCTAACATTTTTTAAAAAGAAACACTGCGCGGAGCGCGAGCATTGAAGCATTGAAGCATTGAAGATGCCAAGTGAGATTTTGGCGAAACGTCTGCAGGATTCCAGTCGGAGTTCAACAAGCGAACGGATGATATCCCGGAATATAGTGTCATCATATATATATATATATATATATCCATCCATCCATCCGTGAATCAATACGTGAGAATATATATATATATATATATATATATATATATATATATATATATATATATATATATATATATATATATATATATATATATATATATATATATATATATATATATATATATATATATATATATATATATATATATATATATATATATATATATATATATATATATATTTAGCTAAACTTTTCAAAAACTGTCTTCCTCCCATTCTCCAGTGATTCGCGTACCTTGGTAAATTTTAAAAAACTTCAAATCGAAAATGGACTGAATGAGTTTATCAATATAGTTTCACGAGATTATGGTAAATGCTTGGGTATCTAAAGGACAGGCACATGACTTGGAAATACAACACTGGTAAATGGAATGAAAATTGAATTTTGTGATAGTGAACACCTTGCATAGTGCATCGGTTCAATCACATCTCAGATACGGTCTTTTGGAGTGTGGTGGTTTGCCAAATAAGAACTACTGGAATGTCCCAAAAGTGGATTCTTAAAGTGAAATATATATAATAATCCGTTGATTTATCCTATAGAACAAAAAGTGAAAATTGCGAATTATTTATACACACGTCAGAACAGCTTGCGATCACGATTATTCGACCCGATCTCCAACGCAAAAACTGTTAGTAGTAAAGAGAGAAGAAACTACAGGTCAGATATGCTTTTCTTATTTACTAACAAAAATTACTGCCGTGTTACTTGAAATGATTCAAAATTCTAAATCTTTCGTTGTAGGATCTATAATTTTAAATCACAAAGAATGAGTTATTCAGCTGCCGAGATATATTCACCAACGAGTAGACTTAAAAAATAAGGTCAGACAAAATGGTTAAAAGAAGAACGAAGACATTAATACAAGAAAAGAGATACACATTGGATTTATTTGAAGGTAATACATTGTGAATTATCTCATAGACTTAATCGCATAGAATTTGACTTATTAGACAATAGAATCCGAACTGATATATCAAACATTATACACAAAGAGTATCTAAGAAAAAAATCCAAGTTAGACAATTTAATAAAAATCACTAAAAAACGGTCATTCATTTCAAACTTCTCGAATCATGAATTTTACAATAGGACACTACATTCTCTGAGAAAGAGTCCGAATTGCTAAAAAAGGGTTTCAACTTTAATTTAAATTACTCAAACACCAATATGGAGTTAAATTGTTTAGGGGTTGATTGCGAACTTGCTATTAACGGTCACAACGACCATATCGTAAACAAACACGTATTAGCTAATTTAATAAAATCTCAACTTAATACTAGCAGCAAATTTAATGATCTTTCACATATGTCTATGGTAAAATCAATTAAAAATAAGGCTTCTCAAAATAATGTAGTATTTGCAAGATCAGATAAAGGAAAAACAGTCATTGCTATCGATTCTCTAGAATATTTACCAAAACCAAACAGTTTCTTAATCCAGATATATACCAAAGTATACAATATGATCCTACCGAATTATGTCAAAAACAAATCAAAACCGTAATTACCGACTCAACACTTTTTAATGACAAGGATAAATTCCAACTAATAATCATGAACCCTCAACCTCCAAAATTGTATTCTTTAATTAAATTACACACACAGCATGTGCCAATAAGGTCTGTAGTTTCTTTTGTAACAGCACCATCAGTTAAATTTTCAACAAGATTAATTAAAATTTTAGAATATAATACTGCCTTGAAACCTAGATATGCTATCAAAAACTTATTTCCTAGCTAGACAATTTAGAAAATATCATATATAAACATCCTCTGAGTAAAGGATTTCTCTGGGGGTATAGATACGTAGATGATGTTTGTGCTTGTTTCACTGGAACCGAAAGACAACTGCATTCCTTTTTGAATCATATTAACTCGATACATAACCGCATAAAATTTGCCACAGAGACGGAACAAGATAACTCTCTAAACTTTTGGACTTAACTATAACTAAACCACAAAACAAGTTAGATTTTTCCATTTTCCATAAGCTCTCACACACGCGCACAATATTACATAATAACTCAAATGAGATATTCGAATTTATTACTTAATACCAATTTGATTTAAATGCGTCTCCGTTGTTAAATTTCAATTTATAACACTATACCTGTAATTACAAATCAATGACTACCTAAGCCACGGTGTTGCCGCAACAGCTGCAATAAAGCATTAAAAACTGTGAAAATCTGAACATTTTTTGTTCTAAATTAATTTGTGTTAAATTCATTACGTTTTTAGTTTTGGTTAGTTTTTAGTGAATATCCATACAGTTTGTTCTGGTTTAGGTGTGTGTGGTCTCAATCTGTAATGTTCCAAACCACACACTTTTGTATGTATTTTATATTTGATTTATGTATGTTGTTTTCATCTCACAATTAAATAATCATTTGCTAATATTTCGTGAGCTTTTTGTTTGTTTATTTACTATTTATGCGTCTCTATTTATTTAAACTTGGTTCGACTGTAATATACTATTAAACTGTTACTGTTATAACTATTTACAAATTTGTAAATAAACTATTACCATTATATTATTATTATTAGTTGTAAAGTAGTATTTTTTAAGTTAATCTACTCGAATGTAGACAATGTAAACGCACTTTAAGACGGGTTCGATAACAAAAGAACTCGCTATTATAGTTTTGCAGATTTCATCGTCCGCTGTTGCACCAAATTTAAACAAGGACAATTTAAAGTATTTTATGCATCTTAAAAATTTCGACTCGCGAACTTCTTGGCATTTCTTTCTCTTTATCTGGGCGGGATGAAAAAAAAACTGAAACAAAACTGAGCAACAGAATGGTTTCCTTTATTATAGTTAAAGAAAGAGTTTAGACAAGCTGGGGCAAATGCGTTTTCGGGAGAATATCCGCTCTATTGCACAAATGACGTCGCAACGTCGAAAATTTTCGTTTAAGTTTGACACAATGTCTCTCGTTAAGAAGTAAAAAAAAAAAAATAACACGCTTTTATATAATTTTTACTTTAACGAGGAAATCCGGGGAAATTCCGTTTGTGCAGATTCGAGGGGATATAAAACATGTAAATTGAGTTAAAAAAAAGAATATAAATCAAAACGATATTGTTACAAAAAACAGTCGTCCGTTTTTGCGATTAAAAATAACACGTGCCAATTTTCATTCATTCTATATGAAAAGAAAATTCGGGCAGAAATTTAGGTTTTGGGAGCGCCTGTCTTGCATACTAACTACTCTAGTGTTACGTTGGTCAGTGAAGCTGAAGTGTTTAGTCCGAAAACGGCAATTGCCTCAACCTGATGCAAATTAATATGAAAATTTATCAAGGGCAGCGGCGTACCGTGCAGTTTTTACAGGCTCCAAAATGTAAGAACAGGTTTCCATATTATAAGCGTCAACTGCGAAGATTAGCTAAGTGAAAGTCAGCCGAGCGGATGTTAATTTACGAAACTCAAGGAAAATTAACCGAAATTTCCTTTTGACTATCCTGTTACGGTACGCTACTGAACCAAAAACTATAATATTGAAAATGAAAATAGGCTTTTTTTGGAATTATCTCGAAACTCGTAAAAGGTATAGCGGCGTAACCGAAGTTGAACATTTTCAGGCCTCCGTAATTACAGATTTTTGGACAAACCCTAATTTTGCCCACGCCGTACGTCAATCTGTTACGCGCGGTTTCTGTTTGGAGTTCGATTTAAATTGGGTCGTTTAAAAACGATAAATCATTTGAATTTGCAAATACAATATTGCCCGTTTTCGCAACTGAATTCTAGATGTTGAGAGGTGCAAGGTTTAAACAGGAAAAATAATATTGCGAAATTTAATAATATTGAATACGAGTTTGCAATGCGGGCATGCGGATTTTGCTCGAATGTCTCTTTTTATTGCAATTTCGAGACTGCTCTGAACCATATTGTTATTTGAATCGCTCCATTTCGCTTTGTTAACCAGACTTTGGTATGTTGATTTTTTTGTTGGAACATGCTAATTTACATTTACAATGTTTTCAACATATGAATCTCCGGGTCCGAGTTCAATCATTTGTCACCTCTTAGGTACCAAACAATGGGTTGTTTTTCTCGAAACTAATACAAGACGGAGTCACCAAAAATCAAATTATTCGCTGATAACAAGTATGAGACCTGATCGATTGGTAAAATCTGCTCAAATACGTTATTATAGATTATTTCCAAACAAAACAAATAAAAGAAGAGAAATTGCTTCCTCAATTTTCTCCTGGTTGTTTATTTTCGACCGACTTTCAATTCAAAACTAATCTCAACGGCTAATTGACATAACAAACAGCCAATTTGAATAATAATAGAAATGTAATTCACTTACTTTCTTCGGGAACGCCTTGAGGTTGAGGGCACTGGATGCTTTCGTATTGTGTCCTGCCATAACTTGCGCTGTAGACTGCCACCCTCGAATTTGGATTGCACTTGAGATGGATTCGTTCGTTTTCGCAGGCCACTTTGCTACGAAACTCATCTGAAAAATTTGCATCCATTAGGAACTGTATTCAAAAGGAAAAATCGATATTTTATTAAAAATCCAGACGTTCCTTTCTAAACTCGACAATTCTGAAAATCGTTTAATTCTTTGCCTTTACATTTTAAATCTTATTCAGTAGTTCGGTCAAACCCAAGGACATTAGATCCATATTTCTATATTTGTCTACGGGTTCAATGTTTAGCAACTGATTTGTTTCAAAGCTACACGTACTCAAAATACGTGGAAAATTTTTAAAGAAGTAATAATACAGTGTAGTCCGGATATAGTGAACTCGAAAGTTGCATCAAAATTGGTTCGCTGTATCCTAGGTTTACTAAAAGTAATAAATAAACTTTTGTATACACCACGATATATTAGCATTTTTTAGATATGTATATGTATTACGTAATGTACAAGTAACAAGTGAACAAGAACAAGTAAACAATATCTAAAAAAACAAACAAAAAAAAATACATGTATCCCCCACTCTTGGATAAACAAGTTGTATATTTTGGTTTGTACGAGTCTGCTAGAAAAGTTAATGTTGCTTATATAGCTTTTAAGGTTACAAAAATAATTCCGCTGTATCCGAGGTTTACAGAAAGCAATAAATGAACTGTTGTACACACCATGATATGCTAGCATTTTTTTACATATGTATGTACAAAACAAGTAACAAGTGAACAAGAACAAGTAAACAATATCTAAAAAATAAACTAAAAAAAAATACATGTATCCACCTACTACTGGATAAACAAGTCGTATATTTTGGTTTGTACGAGTCTGCTAGTTAATATTACTTATATAGCTTTTAAGGTTACAAAAATAATTCCGCTGTATCCGAGGTTTACTAAAAGCAATAAATGAACTTTTGTACTCACCACGATATACTAGCATTTTTTTAGATATGTATATGTATTACGTAAAGTACAAAACAAGTAACAAGTGAACCAGAACAAGAAAACAATATATATATATATATATATATATATATATATATATATATATATATATATATATATATATATATATATATATATATATATATATATATATATATATATGTATATATATATATATATATATATATATATATATATATATATATATATATATATATATATATATATATATATATATATATATATATATATATATATATATATATATATATATATATATATATATATATATATATAAATACATGTATCCGCCTACTCCTGGATAAACAAGTCGTATATTTTGGTTTTTACGTGTCTGCTAGAAAAGTTAACATTACTTATATAGCTTTTAAGGCTACAAAAATAATTCCAAACTTTCTCAGGAACGTCGCGTGACTCCAAAAACGTGCGAATCTCTATTATTTATTCCGTCATGTATTTTACTGAAAGAACATTGATTATGGCCACTTCCCCAATAGCCTCCTCGTTCAGCTCATCTTCACTCAATTCTGCATTTATTTCTGAAAAGAATGTTTCATTTCATGTTATAGATACGTGTTGACGCTAACTGGACAATTTCGTCTTCTGTCAAATATTCGGTTGGAATAACTTGATCGTCTATTGAAACGTAACTTTCGAAGTCGAAATGTTCAATCCTATTCCTAATCTCTGCTTCAAGAGCTTTCTGGGTGTCGGTATTTTCCTCGGTATTTTCGGGATCTTCTGAATGTTTTTTTAGCCATTCCGTTACAGGCAATTCATTATTAGAGGCAAAATCATCTGCTTCAAAGAATCCTGCATGTTTATAACAGTTTTGAACTTCCTGCCAAGCACGGTGAATAAAATTTACAGCATCCAATAAGCTCACCGAAAACTCTTGTCCATCATCAATTGCTTCTACAAGCTCTATCAGCAAAATCTTCCTACAGTGATACTACAGGAAATAGATTATGCCTCGATCCATGGGCTGCAGTATTGAACTGGTATTGGGTGGCATAAAAACCAGTTTGATTTGGTTGAACGGAACATTGGGATGTGCTGGACAATTATCTATTAGAAGAATATTTTTTCTGTTCTTCTTCTTCAACTATGTATGCCATTCGAGCAGCTCTTTGGTAAATAATATGTCATTCACGCTTTACTGTACCTGTACTTGACTGGTAGGGTCTTCATTTTGGGTTTACTGATTTGCCCATAACAGCTTTCTCTTTTCTGTCTCAGATATATTTGCATTAACCAGAACTGTTATTCAAACCTTGGATAATTTTCCACCTGCACACTTATCTCCTTGGACTTTCAATGTTTTATCAACGGTTAGCTTGTAGAAAAGGCAGGTCTCATCGGCGTTGAAAATATTGTCATTGTCATATTTTTTGCAAAGATCAGGCCAATTTCTCTTCTTAAAACGTTGAATTCAACTTCTGGAACACACAAAATCTCTTTCTCTTTCTATTCTACTTCCCCTTTTACTTGCTTTTTGCTAAAGAACTGGACCACTTATGGGAGTATTTTCTTTTCTTCTTTGGGCAAACCACTGTAAGAGTCCCTTTAGTGACGCCTTAATGAGCTGATTTTCTCAGTTGAGAGAATCCTATCTTTTTTTTTTCAGGTAATGTATGTAAATATAACTTGGTTTCATACCACTTTAAATTTTTTGTATAACATCTTCTTTTTTTCGTTGATTTTCGTTTTTGCTTCTTCATTCCACAACTGAGATGAAAACAATAACAAAACAAAGGTGCTATGTATTTTTAACCTTTCTCCGGGAAATTATCGGCTGAACCCCCGAAAAATTTCATTTTATTCTCCCGGGAATTACCGGGGGAACCCCCGAAAAAGTTCGTCAAAAACGGAAAATGTATCTTAATCTTGACAAAATTTAGTTCACTGTATTCGAAAGTTAACTATATCCGGGTTCACTATAAAGAGTAAAAATTTACATTTATCTTATGAGACTTTTTGAGTGCATTTCAAAAAGTGTTCATTATAACCGAGTGTTCAGAGTAAACGGGTTTACTCTATCCGAACTCCACTGTAATTTATTGACTAGTTTTATATTTATTTTGAGGATAGTATGTAAGTTTAAAAAAAATATTACTTTCAATTTTGTTGACCATTAATGGGGATGCAAAATCATGTTTGGTTTGGACGATTGTGTTTGAAGATATAATTGTTTATGTTCTAATTGATATTTGCAATATTTTAATATTTAACTTTTAATTACAGTTATTGTGAAAAATCCCCTGCCAGGGAAGCTGCTAAAAATAAGTTAATATCTCCGGTCTTTATCAAAAGAATTTTCTGGCATGGGGCGTTTTTTTGAAATACCTTTCGGGTTCTTCGGAAGTTCGGCATTAATATAAACTTATTGGAATTTTCCGTTGCTGGGAACTCCATCCACTTGCGGATACTTTGGGAATAGCTGATAATTACGAAACATTTTGTATGAACCCGTACAAATTGGCCATTGCGACTAAAGCTTTTTTACAATAAAATATTTCCTGCGGAACCGAGATTACGTATTAAATATTAATACCGTCGACAATAGTTTACTTTGTATGGCCCATAATAATACATTTCCATTGGCGTTCGTTTAAAGAACCAACCAGACAGCTGAATCGGAGAGAATTTAATTTTGTCTGCCGATCATTAATAATCAAACTCGAGCCAATCCAGCCTTCTCGACCAATAAATCATACTAGAAAATTAAATGGCGTTTAAAACCGCGAATCATTCCAGTTAATAGAACAAGTTGGGGAGAATTAAGTATAGACAGAACATACGTTTAGGTGGGGAGAAAGCATTTTAGATATTGCACTTCCAACAACTGAAACTTTAATTCGTGTAATTCAGCTTTGAAACAAACGTTACCCTGTCGGTAGCTGTCGGAATTTATTAAACTTAGCAGCGGTGCATTTTACTCAACTTTGATAAAGATTTAGTGTAAAGTGCTAGAAGCTTGGTACTTGTGATGACAACTTGCATCCTTTGTGATGCAAATAATTACACCCGCATGTGTATAAATATTTTACTCGCCCAAAGTTTTTATTGTACTATTTCCTAAAACTCGTTGCTTTCTTTTTGCACTGAAAGCCGAAGAATTTGGTTCCCAAGCACTATAATAATTGAAAGAATCATGTAATAGATATCTAGGATACTGAAGGGTTTTATTCATCGACGACATATGTAGGTACTTTATATCAAAAGCCAATACAATTAAATTTGATCGGATTTAATTAGAGCATGTGGACTTTAAGTTTTCAAGTACCAAAATAAGAAAGTCGTTTTCAAAGTATTACTTCGCTTGTAACGGCTTTCGTTTCTTTCGGTCGAGCGATTTTCACATTAATTCGATTTTCGGTTTTTATTTAATACCGTATTGCGAGGAATTGTCAAAAGAATGAAATGAAAAACTTATCGTTTTGGACATTAATAAAGTTTCGTTTTTTTTCTGATATGTGGCAATTAGTATTTTTGCGTTGGACGATTATTATTAAAAACCTCGTTTCCCTAAAATAAATACGTGGATATCGATGATATAGATGGTCGAATGTTTACCATACCAACACAACATTTATATTTAACGGCGTCGTTGAGAATCCGTAGTTATGTACAAAGCGATTTATTTGTTTATTAATTCTACAAAAAAAAACCATAGGGGAAACGTAATACCGCGTTTTTACCAAACTCGGGGGGTGGGGGATGATTGGGCTTCATTAAAGGGCTTAATGATATTACCTAATCGCTAGTGGGACCCGGAATCAACCGAGATTACTGCGCAATTCTAGCATTTTCGTGGCACCCTAAATGAGGCAGGCAAACTCGTCCAAAAATTACTAAGGGGCCTTGGCGTATTAAATCTAAATAGGGTTGTGCATCAACTTCTTAAGACTTCGATGGGCCTAAGATAAGATTTCAGGAATAGCGGTTAAATCTCCGCTTAATCCGGTCTTAAACAACTGAAAGAAAACCAGAACCGAGATGTGTTATTTGTGAAGCGTTATAATCAATAATAAAATCATGGTATTATGTTTGGTGGATTTAATAAATATTATT